ATGATAGACTGATAAGGGCATGGCCTTTGGAGAGGTAGGCCTATAAGAATGGAGTTGCAATAGTCAAGGTGAAAAATAATAAGGGAGTGAATGAGTTGGTGGTTTCATTAGCTAAAAAGGGGTGAATTTTAGAGATGTTACGGAGTGAAGTCTATAAGCTTTTGACAGTGATTGGATTTGGTACTGAAAGGACAGGTCAAAGTGTATGATTACACTCAGCGATTTAGACATTAATGGCTGTGTGTTGAGTTATTTTGAGGGGACAGCAAATTTACACTGTTATACAAGCTGTACACTCACTACTTTACATTGTAGCAAAGTGTCATTTTTTCAGTGTCCTCACATGAAAAGATAGAATAAAATATTTACAAAAATGTGAGGGGTGTACTCACTTCTGTGAGATACTGTAGCACTCTGGCATGAGGGGAGGGACTGATAGTTTCATTACTGATCTTGATGGAAAAGTCATGAAGGAGGGCATGGGAGGGTGATATTACTAGATCGGTTTTAGAGAGATTTAATTGGAGTCATTACTATATGTTTACCAGACTACTGAATGCTGGTTCAGGCTGAACACCAGACACAAAAACTTTCATTTAAATATACTCCTCAATAGCCACAACCTTTTCAAACCCAGATATTACCTTGTAAATGTAGCTGTGGCACCATAACTCTGTAGCCTGTGCAGAGAACAGAGCTGTAGGAGGAGTCCAGCAGGTTCCACCCACTACAGGCTGACTGCAGACAACAACAGGGAGGGGTGGGGGTGGTTACAAGACCAGTCATCCTGCTCAAGGAGAGAGAGCAGCAATGAATGGTCTTTATTACAGGAAAACAGCTGTACAAAGGTAAAGTGCAGAAGTTGATGCATGCTCTATTTCTGCACAGATCTGTAAGAAATACACAGGGGATGCATGTAAGAATATACATCTCTTGTAATAAAACAATATTTTTGTAGCCTGGATGTTATCTTGTTTAACATGCTGCCTTTGCATAGGTAGCTGTAGCTTGAAATATGTTAGAAAGAATTGGAGTTGAGAACAATGATGGAACCTATGCATTGTCAGGGATATATTTAGATCTAATTTGAAATTTTAATTAAGTGTTCTTACATGGCAAGACCACTTACTATTATCTCACATACAGTCAGGTCCATAAATATTGGGACATGGACACAATTCTAAACATTTTTGGCTCTATACACCACCACAATGGATTTGAAATGAAACAAACAAGATGTGCTTTAACAGCAGACTGTCTGCTTTAATTTGGGGGTATTTACATCCAAATCAGGTGAACGGTGTAGGAATTACAACAGTTTGCATATGTGCCTCCTACTTGTTAAGGGACCAAAAGTAATGGGACAATTGGCTTCTCAGCTGTTCCATGGCCAGGTGTGTTATTCCCTCATTATCCCAACTACAATGAGCAGATAAAAGGTCCAGAGTTCATTTCAAGCGTACTATTTGCATTTGGAATCTGTTGCTGTCAACTCTGAAGATGAGATCCAAAGAGCTGTCACTATCAGTGAAGCAAGCCATCATTAGGCTGAAAAAACAAAACAAACCCATCAGAGAGATAGCAAAAACATTAGGCGTGGCCAAAACAACGGTTTGGAACATTCTTAAAAAGAAGGAACGCACCGGTGAGCTCAGCAACACCAAAAGACCCGGAAGACCATGGAAAACAACTGTGGTGGATGAGCGAAGAATTCTTTCCCTGGTGAAGAAAACACCCTTCACAACAGTTGGCCAGATCAAGAACACTCTCCAGGAGGTAGGTGTATGTGTGTCAAAGTCAACAATCAAGAGAAGACTTCACCAGAGTGAATAAAGAGGATTCACCACAAGATGTAATCCATTGGTGAGCCTCAAAAACAGGAAGGCCAGATTAGAGTTTGCCAAATGACATTCACAGTTCTGGAACAACATCCTATGGACAGATGAGACCAAGATCAACTTGTACCAGAGTGATGGGAAGAGAAGAGTATGGAGAAGGAAAGGAACTGCTCATGATTCTAAGCATACCACCTCATCAGTGAAGCATGGTGGTGGTAGTGTCATGGCGTGGGCATGTATGGCTGCCAATGGAACTGGTTCTCTTGTATTTATTGATGATGTGACTGCTGACAGAAGCAGCCGGATGAATTGTGAAGTGTTTCGGGAATATTATCTGCTCATATTCAGCCAAATGCTTCAGAACTCATTGGACGCTTCACAGTGCAGATGGACAATGACCCAAAGCAGACTGCAAAAGCAACCAAAGAGTTTTTTAAGGGAAAGAAGTGGAATGTTATGCAATGGCCAAGTCAATCACCTGACCTGAATCCGATTGAGCATGCATTTCACTTGCTGAAGACAAAACTGAAGGGAAAATGCCCCAAGAACAAGCAGGAACTGAAGACAGTTGCAGTAGAGGCCTGGCAGAGCAACACCAGGGATGAAACCCAGCGTCTGGTGATGTCTATGCGTTCCAGACTTCAGGCTGTAATTGACTGCAAAGGATTTGCAACCAAGTATTAAAAAGTGAAAGTTTGATTTATGATTATTATTCTGTCCCATTACTTTTGGTCCCTTAACAAGTGGGAGGCACATATGCCAACTGTTGTCATTCCTACACCGTTCACCTGATTTGGATGCAAATACCCTCAAATTAAAGCTGACAGTCTGCAGTTAAAGCACATCTTGTTCGTTTCATTTCAAATCCATTGTGGTGATGTATAGAGCCAAAAATGTTACAATTGTGTCGATGTCCCAATATTTATGGACCTGACTGTATATATTCTTATTATTATAGCCAAATTTACCACCCTAACTCCTCCCACAGTTTTGAAACTACATAGACAGTAATATACCGAAACGTGCAGATTGTTCCCGATTGGTGTGCTATTACTTTGTGGAACGTTTCACCGAATAGTTCACTAAATATTGGCGTTTTTGTCATTCATTGAAACTCCACTGACATTCATTGAAACTCCACTCTAGCCACCTCAAATTTGAAGGACAATTTCTAAACTGCGACTGTGACTCAAGCCACTCCACCCAGTTACTCCACAGTAATATACCGAAACGTGTGGATTGGTGTGCTATTACTTTGTGGAATGTTTCGCCGAATGGTTCACGAAACATCAGTGTTTTTTTGTGGTGAAATTGGTCCCATAGGAATGAATGGCGGAAAGTTCAAAACTAGAGTGGGAGCTGACAAAAGCTAGAGTGTGAGCTGAAAAATCAGGACATGATTTCTAAACTGCCATCACTCCCCTCATTTTCAAGCCCACCTACACAAATCTTATATCAAAACGTTCAGCTATCCCTGCTGCCACTAAAAATGTCCACGGCTAAGCCATAGTCTGATAGTTTTCACAATATGACCATTTGTTTGCAACTCGCCGCCCAGTGACCTTTTCACAGTTACTCCAGCCACTCCAACCACACAACAGTTACTCAAGCCACTCCACCCAGTTACTCCGCCCACTCCAGTTGTAGACTACTGGTGGAGGCAAGAACACTTCACACAATTTCCCCAGAAATTGTAGCTTTTCTAGTTATTATTATTTTTAGATTATTGTTCATTATTAATTTGGATCTGGTATCAGACAGATATATTTTTTTCATTGTAAGTGTATGCAAGCTACGTAATGTATACAATTAACACAGAATTTCATTTCCCTCTCTCTTACAATCCCTAATTATAGGTCACGTTAAACCCCCCCCCCCCCCCCCATGCTAGGTGGAGACCGTTTTTTTTTTCCCTCTTGTGTAAGAGGGAAGTACAGTATATTGGATTTTTTTTCAACTTGAGATTTGTATTCCTGAAGGCCTCCACCATGAATGGCACTCACTACTATAAGTAATATGTCATTTGTCTTTTTCCTGTTTTTTACCTCTCCCTCCCCCCCCTCTCCTTTTTTCTTCCTTTTCCCTTTCCTTCCTTTATTCAACTATTTCCCTTCCTCTTTTCCTCCTCCTTTCTGCTCAGCTATGAAGGGGTTAGAGATTTAACTTCTGCCTCAGCTGGTCACAGGAATGTGTAGAGATTTTAAAACATTTCACTATGTGATTTATGCCTTTGGAATGCAGACAGTAGCAGCATTCACAGAATAAGAAAATAGTCTGATATAGTTCACAAGGCAGAAAATGTGATGGAATAAAAAAATTCAAGATATACTGTGTGTATATATATATATATATATATATATATATATATATATAACTTTATGACAATCTAAACAAGTACCAGATCTAGTTACAGTACACGTGATGCACAAGCCTCATAAACTAAAAAAAAGAATCTCTAAATTGTGTCTCACATGGTTCTCCTTTCAGAGGCTGCAGCTCCCAGTGGGAGGTATTCAGGAACAGGGTCAATGTTGCACCCCCAGAAAGCAGTGAGCTTGAATAATTGTGATCAGGTGTTGACTGACAAACTATAGGCTTGTGAATCAGCAATGAGAATGCTAATAGCCACACCCTCTGCAGAATTTTTTTATCCCACTGTAGTGTAACAGGCACAGCCAATATGCGGCAGCTCTGACCTGAATTCAAGAGCAATGCAGCATCATTGCCACCCCATCGTAATAAGCTGCATTAGGTGGGCTTCACTGACAGGATCAACATGTGTCTGTGGGACTTAGCAGGGGGACTAAGTGAAACTGTCAGTGCAGATACCCTTTTAATAAGAAAGGCCTTTAATCACTTGCCTACAGGGCACTTATACCCCCTTCCTGCCCAGGGCAATTTCCAGCTTTCAGCGCTGTTGCACTTTGAATGACAATTGAGCGGTCATGCAACACTGTACCCATATGAAATTTTGAGAATTTTTTTTGTGACAGATAGAGCTTTATTTTGGTGGTATTTAATCACCTCTCTGGGTTTTTTTTTATTTTTTTTCTTAAACAAAACAAAAACCACAGAAAATTTTGGAAAAAAAAAACATTTTTTCTTGGTTTTTTGTTATAAAATTTTGTAATTAAGTGATTTGTCTCCTTCACTGATGTGCACTAATAAGGCTGCAGTGATGGGCACTGATAAGTTGCACTGATGGACACTGATAGGTGGCACTGATGAGGAGGCACTGGTAGGTACCAATGGTGGGCATTGACAGGCATCACTGATGGGCACTGAAAGGCAGCACTCATATATGGCACTGATAGGTGGCACTGACTGGCACTGATAGGTGGCACTGACTGGCACTGATAGGTTGCACTGACTGGCACTGTTAGGTGGCACTGATAGGTGGCACTGACTGGCACTGATAGGTGGCACTGACTGGGCAGCACTGTTAGGTGGCACTGATAGGCGGCACTGATGCACACTGATAGGCGGCACTGATTGGCACTGATAGGCGGCACTGACTGGCACTGATAGGTGGCACTGATTGGCAGCACTGATAGGTGGCACTGACTGGCATTGATAGGTGACACTGAAAGGCAGCTCAGATGGGCACTGATATGTGGTATTGATGTGGCACTGATGGGCACTGAAATGTGGCACTGATGGGCACTGTCAGGTGGCATGGATGAGCACTGAGAGCTAGCATTGATGGACACTGACAGGTGGCGCTGCTGGGGCTACACAGATCATCAGGGCACACTGATCATCAGTGCTCTGATGATCTGTGTACATGTCCCCTCCAAGGAATGCCGATTAAAGGCTCTCCTCTCCTCACGAGCTGTCAGCGTGACAGCTCGTGGGGGGGGAGAGAAATGCCAATAACCGGCGTTTCCCTGTTTACATGTGATCAGCTGTGATTGGACACAGCTGATCACATGACCGAGCCGACATCTTTGGCTCTTTCCGTGGATCGGTGATCCGCTGTGTCTGAGGAACACAGCGCACTGCCGATCGCCGCACTGCGCGCTCTGGGAGTCACGCAATGCGCAGTGAGAATGGGAGGACATCATATGACGTCCTCCCAGAACGAGAGAACCACCTTGCGTCCGTCATATTACTATATGGTGGGCAGGAGGTGGTTAATATAGAAGGGCTCCTAAAAATCTCACGTCGGCATCTGCAGTTTTACAAATTTCAATGCTGCTGCCTTCTGTTCTCTCAGTGCTGCTTCCCCGAATTTCCAGTCTTCAAAGGAAAGAGTTAACAGTGGACAGTGCAGTCTTGAGTCCATCTGTTAGTTTGGAGAAAGGAGGGATGAGGAGGGAACGGTAGGGGAGTGCTTTGCTATCCTAGGCTACTATGCTGTGTGTTTCTGTTGATGCAAGGAGACCCAATATTAGTCCCTACATGCAAGGTTGGCTCCATAGAATACTGTAAAAGAAGAACCACCCTAAAACAGGAAACCTGGGGCAACATTCATGGCACTAGCATAAACAGGAATATAGGCAAAGAATAAAAGATAAAGAAGTTGTACGTTCAGTAAGTGGATAAATCAGACGATGAAAGTGCTTAAAAACTGAGGGTTTAGGCTTCTTTCTCACTGATCCGCATTTGGTGCAATCTTCAGTAAAAAAAGCAGAAGAAAAGTAAAAGAAAACTGCCTCCCTTTAAATCCTATGGTGCTCTTTACACTGATCGATTGGCTGCAGTGGCGGTGAAAAAATTCTGATTTCTGCATTTTTTGGTGCATGCTTGTTCAGTTAAAAAAAAAAGCACCAAAACACATCCCTCCATTGAAATAAATGAAAGACGCATCAAAATACAGTGGACCTGTGGGAAATGCTTTGTCCAGTGGGGAAAAATGCAATGCACCGCAGCAAAAATTTGTAAAAATGCAGCAAAAATGCATATGCGTTTTTGATATATTTGTTAAGCAGAGCAGTGTGAAAGTAGCCTTCATATTACTTTAAATTACTTCACTTAGCAGTTGGAAAATGTTTCCTGGAATTTAGTCTTCAGTGATGTGGCAAACTGTATGTCTCAAAAATTTTCTTGAAAATTAACCCATGGTCAGGTTGTCTTAATGTATGGGCACCTCTGGGCACTGCCCAAGGGCCCCAGGTGCATGCAGGCCCCATGATAGCACTGCATTACTGCATACATGAAAACTGTCCTGGATTTGCTGGGACAGTCACACTTTTTACTAAGCTGTCCCAGGATGGCCTAGGCAGCAACCCAGAACCAGTACTGTGCCCTCCTGCCTCACCCCCCCCCCCCCCCCCCCATTACTGTGCCCTTTTTTTGATTAGTCTGTAATTTATGGCATGCTTTCTTATTGTTTAAAATCAATTTTATTAAAAGTACTAATAAATATATGTTTAATTCTATCAACTATTTATACTTTAATTCTTGAGAGTAGGTGCTTAAATTGGGGCATGCTGGTAGGGGCCCTAGTGCCTTACATTGTCCAGGGGCCCATGATGCTATTAAGATGGCCCTGTGTGGACATACAAGTATTGACATATTCTTAACAACAATTAAATAAGCTTTGAAACAGGCCATCACTGACCTGCATAGCTGCAGGCCCTGTGAAATAATACATTTTTAAAGTTAATAGAATCAGTGAAGTCATGCAGTATTTTCCCGTGTGCCTGCTCTTTTTTTAAATTAGATCTGTCAGTCTGAGCTGCTGGAAGAGTGACTACAGTACTTCTGCTGTAAACATTCAGGCTGAATTACTCCACATTGCCTGCAATAAGTAGGTCACTGAGGATTTGTTTTAAATCTCACATATTGGGGGAGATTTACTAAAATTGGTACACTCAGAATCTGGTGCAGCTGTACATTGTAGCCAATCAGCTTCTAACTTCAGCTTGTTCAATTAAGCTTTGGCAATAAATCCTAGAAGCTGATTGGTTTCTGTGCAGAGCTGCACCTGATTTTGCACTCTCCAGTTTTAGCAAATACCCCTTACTGTTTTTTTAAAAGATATAGTATGTAAAATCAATGTCCGTTGCACTTCAAAATATTTTTGAAAACTTGGTTGCAGTGGACCTGCTTCCAACTGCGAATGTAGTACATCAGGACGTGGACAGTTAGGGTACATGAAAAAACTGCCATTGTCACCAACAGTAAATGGAAACTGCAAATTCTAAATTTTCTCCATTATGTCTGTACTAGAGAAGCCTTTACAGATTCCCTCTCTCCATACAATAAAAGTGTTTTTTTTTATCAAGTCACCTTCCACTAAGGAAAAGTAAACATTTTGTGCTCTGAATGTACAAGTTATAATTAGGACTGTTTTTTAAGGAAGACGCGTAATTAAAACATTAACAAAAAATAACTATCGCTCTAGAGAAACCAATTAGGTTTGAGTTTGTATTTTCTTTTAAAATAAATCTATGAATTGAATTGGTTAGTATGAGCAACAACTCTGTTTTTGTTCTTTTTGTTTTTTTTTTTGTATCCTCTACTCTTTTACAAATAGCCTCTTGCAGTTTAATTAACAGTAAAGATTTAATTTACTGAATCAAGCCATTCACCTTATTTAATATATAAATGTAGCTAAGGAGGATTTAGGGATCTTTGTAAATCTACACATAAGTAAACTGCAGCTGAAGATCTCTACTACTGCACCAACCTATGTCATTCCAAGCACACAGCTAAAGCAACACAGCCAGTTTGCAAAGGCTCATTATGCTGCAGTAACTCCCTCTGGAGGTGTGAACACTGCAGAACTCTTCAGAACATGTGAGTATTAAATAAATATCTTCTTTAAACAAGAAGAAACAGAACTTCGAGTAAATTATGGTTTGGGATTGGGAAAGACAGTAGTCTAACCAATATAAAATATTATAAAATAATAATTTTTTCATTGTACCCAGGGGCGGACTGACCATTTGGAAACTCGGGCTCAGTAGGGGGCCCCATGAGATGCCCCTGGTACCTTTTTCATAGGCTTTTTTGAGTTTGTGCAAGGACACAGGGGCCCCATGATCCCCTATTGAGGGCCCAGGGTCAGTAGGGGACCCCATGAGATGCCCCTGGTACCTTTTTCATAGGCTTTTTTGAGTTTGGGCAAGGACACAAGGGCCCCATGATCCCCTATTGCTCGAGGGCCCCATGAATTGTCAGTCCGCCCCTGATTGTACCATTCCCTCTAAATAGAGTAAATATTTCAAATGACTGGTGTTTACATTAGGGGGGAGATTTACTAAAACTGGAGCACTTAGAATCTGGTGCAGCTGTGCATAGTAACCAATCAGTTTCTAACTTCAGCTTGTTCAGTGAAGCTTTAACAAACAAGCTGATTGGTTTCTATAGAGCAGAACCAGATTTTGCTCTCTCCAGTCTTAGTAAATATCCACCTATATGTTTTTTTATTGTGTTAATATTGTGTGTCATCACACTCGGCAATGGCTTATATTAACCATTTTTGCAAGACTATCACAATAACATAGCATTCTTATAACTCTTAAAGTGGTCTTAAATCCAAGAAACAAAAATGTATTAAATTGCAGCTCACTGATTCTTAGATGTCGTGGTTGCATTCGTTTTCTTTTTTAGGCTTTACCCTTTACTTTCACCTGGTGATCTGGCCAAAAAGTCTGTTATTTTTCAACAGAACATGCTGTTTTGCATGTAGTTTTATGCAGCAGTTAGAAAGATTAGACAAACCATTTACCACTGACAAGGATGCTTTCAATGATCAGCTTTTATTTACTTATATAAAAGCTTTATTACAAAAAGGAAAAATAACCTGTTGCTATAACTGCTTATAGAGTGTTAGCTGGAGTTTAGCTTAAATGTTTTAGTCAAGTCCATCCAAATCTGCTAGTCTACATTCCCCTCCCCCCAGACGGACAAAGCTGTCCAAAGGTATCTAATTTACTACTTCTTCCAGAGTGGGGGCCCAATAAGACAGGATGTATGTTACGGACTGGATCACCAGGCAAAATAAAGGAAAAAAGAAAACTAATGCGGACAATACATCAAAGGATTGGTAGACCATAATACATTAGTGCTATATAATTACAGTAAACACAAATAAAACACCATTTATTTACTGGAAATAACTATATAAATATATTTAAATAAGACAGACAATAAAGAGCAATGCCAAATGTAATTCACAAATATACCACATCAGGATCCCTATTTTTGACAGTTAGGGTGTGATGTATCTGCCTTACCTTATGCAGAGATTTTCAGGCTTATGTGATAACTTAGTTTCTCCCTCCTCACCGGCCTACCTCAACACAGGCTATCCCCGCTTCAGTCTATCCTGAATTCTGAGGCCAGGCTCATCCACCTTACTAACTGCTCCATATCCACCAACCCCCTCTTCCAATCCCTCCACTGGCTTCCGATTGCCGAACGCATAAAATTCAAATTACTAACATTGACGTACAAAGCTGTTCATAACACTGCCCCAAACTACATCACCGACCTGATATCCATCTACCACCCAAAAACGCACTCTCCGCTCCTCACAAGACCTCCTACTCTCTAGTTCCCTGGTCTCTCCTCCCATGCCCATCTCCAGGACTTCTCCAGGGCTTCCCCATCCTCTGGAACTCACTACCCCAATCCATCAGACTGTCACCTACCCTCCTCACCTTTAGGCGCACCCTGAAAACCCATCTCTTCAGGGAAGCCTACCCCGCCCTCACTTAATTGCCGATCTCCTCCACTCTTCCTAACACTCCATCCCCCACAGCTATTTCCTCCT